GGGTTTAGAACGGCATCCATATACCGGGGAATGGAAAATAAAGTGGAAACTACGATTGAGGGTTTAGGGTTTGAAGTTTATACAGCCTCGCGGGTCGGCTTCCTACAAGCTTCGCACACATCTTTTTGCTGCAAGACTTCTACACTTGAAAAATGAGGCGTTCCTAAAATTGGGGGTAACTAATGGGGATTAAACTATTTTGGGGTCGATATTGGGGTTCTCTTGTTCAAGGAATCTACCATATCTAGTCACTGCGTTTTGCACCAGGCCCTCACATGTTGGAACGCATGATAACTCATGCAGGACCTGGATTTGCATGCAACACTCCCTCCTAAACCCTAAAGCTTAAACCCTGAACCCTAAACCCTAAATCTTAAACTCTAGACCCTAAACCCTAGAGCCTAAACTCTCCTTCTCTCCACCGGCAACTTCCAGGATTTGTCTGCCACGACAGCTTTGCAGAAGTTCAACCTGGCAGGCATCTAAGCCTACGAAGGGTTAGCAGTGGATAAGTCAGGGGAATATAGACTCTATATGTATGGATCTACGTATCTATCTTTATCTATACATATGTATACATATGTATACATGTACATATATATATATACATGTATATGTATACATATATATATATATAATTTCTATGAGTATTGTATCTATATATGTGGATATGGGTGTTCCCGGCTCACGTGTGGTCAAGCATGCATGTTTGGATTGGGGTATGTTCCGGGGTATGTTTCGGGGTATGTTTCAAGGTATGTTTCGAGGTATGTTTTGGCCATGTTTCGTAGGTACATGACTCTTGACGAAAGGGACGCTGCGGGGGTATGTTTCGGGCTATGTATCGAGGTATGTGGTATGTATCGGGGTATGTATCAGGGCATGTATGGGGAGGTGTCAAACATGCGTCCTTGCATGAATTCCTGACACGCAATTCTGGAAATAGCTATACACATACACAGGGCTCAGGGCTTAGAGTTTATCCAAAGTCTGCAGCCAGCTTCGGGCGTCAGCCGAGCCGATGCAAGGTTGTCCGTTAAGCCCGTACTTCCCGTTGTCACCCCCATGTCCATGTCATTTTCCAAGTTGGGCTAGTGTGATGGCCTCGCCATGTGCAAGAAGGGCAAGTGGAAGCACTGCACGCTTCATAGCCATCGCTGCGGCCGCTTCATGCCGTGTGGCTTGTTTTGCCTCGCTACTTTTGGCTGACTCTTTGCGGACATGCCGCTACCACAAGTATGCTAAATCGCTTCTCAGTTGAAGCTTCTGTGCTTACAAGGGCTTGGATTTCGTGCTCCAGAGCCTCTGCGCGGGCCAGGAGCTTCTGGCGTTGCTTTGCAGCTTCGGGTGTTCATTGCAACTCTGGGGCAGAGGCCCTTACGCCTCGCAAGTTCTATTGCAGCATCAGCTCGGCAAAGTAAGTTTGTTATCTCGTGCTGGGCTGCGCAAGCTGTCAATGACTTAGATGCGCGTCCTCACGCTTTAATGTGACCTGTTGATGGCGCTATTCTGCGGTTTGAGCCTCTCAGGCAGCGGCACAAGGCTTTGTCCTGATGCTCTGGGGGAGGTTGCCAGGGTGCGAGCAGAAGAGACTGCAAAGGGGCTTCACGAGCGCCTCGGGTGTCCGCCTGAGCTCAAAGCGCTTCTTGAGATCCTGGGCGCAGAACAACACCAAAGCCCCAAGCTGTTGCTCAGTACCCAAAGTGCCAGCATTGGTAGGGCACAGAAGATGGCACCACACAGCTGACGAGTCAAGTGCTGCAAGCTTTTGGGGGAAATCTTCTGCTGGTTGGCTTCGCATGCTGCAGCTGACACTTCCATCCAACGCGCGCCGAATCAAAAAGGCGGCAGTACCACGCTTGGCACTTTCACTCGTTGGTCTGCGGAAGCATAGGATATGAGCTCGCGCCGAAATTCCTGTTCCCAAGCGCGCCGCAAATTGGGAGGTGATGGCGTTGAATTCCGATACCAGCACAGAGCGATGGAGTGGTAGGTAGCGTTTCCTCTAAATGCTACATGTTCGATGGGTACGGGTGTTGGATAGCCCTGTCGGATCCGGTTGTGTGAACAGGGCTTGCTGAAAGTGCAATATCTGACAAACCTTGGCGTCCAAACTTGTTCATGAGGCCAAGACCTCGCAAGTCGCTTTTTTGGGAAGATTCCCACCTCACATATCCTCAAAATATCACTGATATCACTGCAACCCACTTCATAGGGACACAAAAAAGACCGCTATTTTTCTGAAAACACGCACGTGCGTTCAAGATGATTTGAATGGATAGCTGCACCCAATGATACTGACGATGCTGGCCCACAAGCATTGCTTTTGATGTCGCAGATCAGACGTGCCAACGGTCAGCGGGACGCTGGGCGTGCAGGTCAGGATCCATGTAGCTGTCACCTTCACAGATGTCGTCAGAGGGATGGCGCATGCCCCACACCTACCCACGCAACAGGGTAGAGAGCTACAATTTAGAACGAAAAATCCACACCACAGGGGCGAGGGAGACGATCTGAACGACCTGACTAAAAATTCATCAATCCTGATTTGCTACAGGCTTCAGACAATTCTAGATCAGTGCTGCTTACCCCAAGAGCGACAGCATGATGCATGATGCTGACAACTGTTAGATCGTACTCTTGTCGACACCTGCGCCACACCTACAAGACGGGAGGAAGAAAAAGTCGGGCAACGGAAACAGTGGGAATGCAGGGAGGTTTGAATAACCTTGACGAATGTAGGTCTGTGCGCGGCATCAGTCAAGAATGCTGATATTTGCACAAGGAAGAAACCCACCAAAACCCCATGGAGGAAGCAAAAACATGGCCTCAGCATGGTTCAGGTGTTCACAGTGAACAGCAATACTGCTGACAGTTGTGGGAAGACACCACCCACGCCACAGCAGGGGAGCATGCTTCCAGCGAAGAGAATGACGACAGTTCTTGAAGGAAGACAACTACCCACATCATACGGAGGACGGGGCAGATGACCTAAGCAAAAAAAGAATGCTAAGAGTGATCAGTTCTAGAAAGAAGCGCCCCCACGAAAGGGGGGGTGGAAGATCTGCTCTAGATGCTGCAAACTGACAGTCGTTTACCTGAATGTTGCCAGCTATGTGACCATCAGCCCTAAACCCTATACCCTCAACCTAGCCATTGGAGGTAGGTGCGTTTGCAGACCTGGCCCATTGACAGTTGCATAAAGGTTTCGAGAGAGGTTTGTGCAGGCTAGCTAAAGCTTGTCATTTGGCCTTACGAAATTCAACATGAGTTTAAGGTGTGCTTGTGGACTCCGAGAGGTTTTCGGAGAAGCATCCAACGAAATGATCTGGATTCCCGTGCTAAGCGGAGTGCTGATTTTGCTGATGATTAGGGAATTCCCGGGCGTTCGCCCGTCGTGCGGCGGGGGGGGGCGGAGAGGCTTTGCAAATCTCTCTGATGCTGCTACTACAGCTCTTATGGCAGGGCCTGCCCATGCTGTGAGGCCTGGAATACTGCAGGCAAACTTTCGCGTTAATGCGTCTCTTTACACTTCACGCCGATTTGTCATCAGACACAATCCCGCGAGGCCCAGACAACAAGAAACGGAACAAATCCGTGACATGAGATCGACATGAGAAAATGATCTCTGTCAGCATATGTTCGGAATGTGAGGTGGCTCTTCTGCCGGCCGCATTGACTCCAGCATCCTTGGCACAACTGGCAAACGAAGTCCAGCATCTGGGTGGCCGCTCCAGATCAAGCACAGTCTGCTCAACGTCGCGAGCCTCTGCCGATACAGCCAAGCAGCAAAGCACAAGACCGAAAAGCCTCAACCCCAAATAGTAGTTTCGATCTTCTTTTTCCATTACCCCTATACAGTCCTGTATATGTATATATATATATATACTGTTCCTAGATTACTTCCAATATCTTCCAATGTGATGATGACGTCACACCGCTAGACCGAGCCTGCTGGGTCAAGCCAGGCATCTTTGCCAGCATCTGCAGCAGTGGCGGTTTACGCTCTAGGGTTTAGATAACTGCTTTGCCAGCTCACTGGATGTCCAGGTAGCTCACACCTTGACACAGCTGGCATTAATCCATGACTCCTGGCCTTGTAATAGATGGCTTCATTCGGCTGAATTCTTATCACAAGTTCGTTTTGAGGCTGTTCCTGAGCTGGGCAAAGCATCCGACACAGAGTCTCCAGAACTTGGCACAGATCCGCCATCCCCATGAAGCCGCAAATACAATCGGGTCATTTAGAAAACAAAGCAGCCACATAGATGGGGGCTTGATATACAGACCCCCATATACCAAAGCCCGTACTTCAGGTACCCCAAAGAAAGTACACCTAATCTATGGAACCTCCATATAGATGCTAAGTTACAGCGGAAGGCTTCTGGGAACATCTGGGCAGCACACACCAAAAAGGCTGCTTGGAGGCGCTTTCTTGAACCTGGATGATGGAGAACCACATGGAACAGAAAATGGAAATTGAATGCAAAAATGGATGCAAGCTGGGCTCACACAACATAATCCTTCCAAGCGAAGTCTATAGCTGCAATCAATCGGTCGCTGTATCTCTTGCCTTCACCAGCTGAAAGTACATACTAATCACTCACGTTACTAAGCTGCCCACTGTATGCGCACGATGGTCTGATGAACCTCCAAACCTTCACGCATGTGTGAGGGCAGAGAAGTAATTGTGCCCTAAACCCTGAAAAGTAGTTTCCATGTTCTTTTCCATTATCCCTCAGTATAGCCCCCCAATTTCCCCCTATAACCCCCTATAACCCCCTACATCCCCCTATAACCCCCAACAACCCCCTATATCCCCCCAATATCCCTACAACCCCCTATATCCCCTTATATCCCTCCATATCCCCTCCATATCCCCTAATATCCCCTTTTATCCCCCTATATACCCTATATCCCCTCATTTCCCCTATAACCCAAGCCTTTGCCAGCTTTCATGATGAAGGGAACTCCAGACCTCTGCTTCAGCGACACGCGCTAATATCGGCATGGGAAATTAAATAGAGGGATATGAGGGGATATTCGGGGTTATAGGGGGTTATAGGGGGTTATAGGGGGATACAAGAGGATATGGGGGGGATATAGGGGGATGTAGGGGGTTATAGGTGCATATAGGGGGTTAAAAAGGCATATAGGGGTTAGGGGGTCAAAGGGGGATATGAGAGGATATGGGGGGATATGGGGGGATATGGGGGGATATAGGTGCATAAAGGGGTCATAAAGAGACATAGAGGGTTATAGGAGGTTATATAGGGATATAGGGGGATATAGGGGGTTATAAAGGGATATAGGGGGTTATAAAGGCATACAGGGGGGGGGGTTATGGGGGGTTATAGGGGGATGTAAGAGGATATGGGGGGGGTTATGGGTGCATATAGGGGGCTATAAAGGGATATAGGGGGTTACAGGGGGTTATAGGGGGATATAAGAGGATATGGGGGGATATAGGGGGATATAGGGGGTTATAGGTGCATACAGGGGGCTATAAAGGGATATAGGGGCTTATATAGGGACAATGGAAAAAAATGGAAACTACTATTTTGGGTTTACGGCACAATGAAATGAAGTACGTACGCTCTACATAACCCCCTACATAACCCCAGTGTCCGTATCATCTTCATTCCTCTGTTGAATTTGATTTTCCGATATTGCCCTAAACCCTGTACATTCCTATATCACCTTCTTTTGCACATATTCCTATAGTTCCTGGAAACTTAATCTTTTGTTCAAACAATGTCAGCACTGAGGCGAGGCGCCAGCGCTCGTTATCCAGATACAGCACTGCGACTGCAAAGGTTGGACATCTAGATGCATAACCTCATCCACTTGTGCAGGCACAGTTTAGGAGTGCGCTGTGAATGAGCTAGCATCCATATGGAATGTTGTCAAAATTGTGGTCCCGTTTTGGGAGTGTACTCTAAAGAATTCTAAAGAATTATTCGTGGCCTCATGAAGCCCAAAAAAGGGACCATAATTTTGACAACCTTCCATGCGTCTGCCCCACCTTGCTTGAGATTTATCTTCTGAATATCTGGATCGTCTTGGTAGCCTTCCTCACATGCAGCCAACCAAAGACATGGCAATCTCCACACAAAAGCTGGAAGGCTCTAATCATACTGGATGTTAAACTAGGGAATAAGCGAGTAAGTATATATTATAGGGATTATGTGGGAATGATGGATTATATTCCCTTATTCCCTGCACTCTGCGAACCACCAGTAAGTAACTGCAGCATTCGGCCAAGACTCGTATTGTCCAATGACACAATCACCTGAAATCACTCTCTGAAACAGAGAGCTTCGCAAGAAGTTCAGCATGCAAACAGCCTGCATACATTCTAGCTAGTGGCTAGTAGGGAATACCGGCATATATAATCTCTATGCACAATCCCCATGTCTTATTCCCTACTTATCCCAATGTATACCCTATTATAGTGTGGTAGTTTCCATTTTCTTTTGCATTATCCCTATATGACCCCAAAACATTCCCTTTCAGTCTATCTAGCTGCTGCACCATAAAACACTGTCGCAAAGAGAGGCAGAAGGATGCCACGAGGCTGTTTTGACATTCGTGTCCTACTCTCAAAAATTACTGGAATACCGAAATTAAAATACCACATTGTGGGTACACAAACAGAACAATAACATGTTGGCCTATGATGGCGGGACGCCCTATCTCTGGAAATACCCTGAAGGCTGTTAACCAATGCAAACTAAGAGTGATAGCAACAATTACACATGCAATAAGACCCACCAGCTGCAGAAGATCGATACCCTTCATGTGTTCATTAACCCCAAAAAATCTAAGCGCGGTATTTGGCAGTTTAAACGATTCAGGAATTCCGCTCTTCTCCTGGGCTTCGTGGAGGAGGCAGACCACTAGTATCTTAGTAACACATGATAGCAGCAGTGGAATTGGGAATCGTAGTAATGGCACATGTTTCAACAATAGTAAGGGAGAGTTGTGAAAGTTTGGGTGGCAGCATCAGTGATCATTTGTAGTGGCATTAGAAATCGCGCTTTGACACCTGCAAATCCAACACACGTACCCAGGATAAGTACCCAGACATGGGCCTCTATCTGACCGTTGGCCTTTCGCAGAGTTCTATTCTAAGCCCCCTTCTGGGTGGATACCCTTGGGGGCAGGGGGTTGCCTGCACAACCATGCATGCAAAGAAGGATCGGGCAATGCGATGCTATGCAGCGCAGGCTGTGCTTTCCACACCACGCAAGTAAGCCCATGGCGCGGCGAAATGGGACGAATTTGCTTCAGAACTTTCACCTGCAGCAGCTGGAATAATAGCAACAATGACAAGAATTAACAACTACGAGGAGAACTATCTGACCCACAGCAGTGCCTCTTGCAAAAGAGGGATCATAAGACAGCTGAGCCTTTCTTAAAGTTGTAATTATGACATATTCCTCAAAGTTACCCCCTAAACCCCTATGCATCCCATATCATGGACGCCCAAAACCCCAACCTAACTATAGTCATTAGTCACTAGTCCCCAGCTCAGGTATATGGGCAGGAGGCTCGGAGTCAAGCCTTCTCGTCCCGGACATCTTCGGCTTCAAGCGTGGCTGGCGCCTTCCAGTTGGATTGCAACAGCCCCACAACTGGGAAAGGAGCATATTGGTGCTTGATTTGAAGTGCGAACTCAGGGAGCATTTTAAAAGCAAATGGAAGCAGAAAAGCCTCCATAGCTACGAGGGTCAACACCTGCATGAGGTGATTCCTCACAAGCGGCCGGGTCACACAGCAGTAATTACGTAGGACCACATGGCACCACCCTGACAATGTTTCCTGATGCTTCTCCGAGGTCACGGCTGCATAATGTCACGGATGATGCCATAGCCGTCGAAATATCCCGCACCTTGGCCAACGGCAAGTCTTCAACGATGGTAGGGAGAAGCCTGAGTTTCGGAACCGTTCCAGCGAAACTGTCACAACCGCACACGCTGGACCGGAAACCAACGGGAAGGTCTTGTCATTTGAAGAATGGAGAATCTGCGTACAACACTTAACCGAACAAACTTAACCGAACAAATACAAAACATGATTCGCTTAGCCAGCACCACTGCCCACAAGGAGATCCATGGCCCCACCCCAAACCCTCTGACTTGCGCGAAGAAAGTCCAGGCGCTCACGCAGGATGCGGCCCTCGCAAATCTGGAAAACAGCCCAGCTCTTTTTTCTCTCTTGTGGCCATCCGTTGAGTTCCAGACAGTCAGAGCCACCGTCACCCCCCCTTTACCAAACCCCACCCTACCCCCACCTTACCCCCACCACTCCAGCATCACTACTACGAGTACTATGACTACTATACAAAGACGACAAAGCGACTTGCACTGCAACTGCTCCTCCTCCTATGGATGCTTCTGCTGCAGCTACTGCTACTGCTGCTACTACCACTGAGATTCCACCAACACCAGTTTGCCTGAATGTCGACCACTGCAAAAACTCGAGGATGGCACGTCAGAAGCCAGAGAGTGCTGCAACCACCAGCTGTTCAAGCGTGCTACAGAGACATCATCATTCGCCCACTACAACCGCCTACTGCCAAATGGTCTATCCAATTTCGACGAGTGAAATTCCTGCTAGGTATCACATCTTTTGCCTTGCGGGCTGGCGCTGCTGAAGTCCGCAGTTCTTTCTGGAAAAAAGGTCTGGCTCGATTTGTGGTGAGTCGGAGTAGGAGATTGTTGGACTTAGATAACGGTTTCGCTAGTTCTTGCAGCCTCCCGCCACTGACACATAAATACCCCCAAAATACCCCAAAGAACGTAGGAGCGCCAAGTTGGTCTCTGTCCTTGCCAGCAAACACATCAGGAGCTGCCCGTTCTATTGCAAGTGGCCGTGGTCGCCGATGAATGCGGGTGTTGCCACGCTGTGGTGGCTGAACATGACAAAACAATAAGCGGTGCGAGGTCAGCCTGCAAAAACCTACCGGTTTAGGGTTTAGGATCACCCCAAGGATATAATTGGATTTGTTGCAGACCCGGTCAACCAGCTGTGAGCGGAACGGCCTTGAACACCAATGGCCTCCTTGAAGGTGATTCGTACCTTGAGCAGGTTTAGGGTTTAGGGTTTTGCTGGATATGATTTGACATAAATCCTACTTTTCCTTTTGTTTCAGAAGGGGACCTATTGTACCTTGAGCTGCACGCTTAGGTCTTGCACTGTGTCAGAGACTGAGGCTCCCAGCATTTGCAACATGATGACAGTGGAATAGGTGGCCCAACTCCTGCTTCGCACCAAGAACTTGCCAGCTTCATCAACCAAAGGGATTGCCGCCTGAATAATGCGGCAGTTTCAATTCTCCTTTCCACTCCCCCTATCCATCCCTGTATAACTCTACATAAACCTTACATAACACTATATAACTCTAAGCCCTATCACCCTGCAACCCCTTTTAGGGCGTGATCGAATAACAGGTCAAGCAGGTCAGCTCCACGCGATTGGCAAAGCGCAAGGTCAACAAGTTCAGGACCTCAAACCAGAGGGTCCACAGAGCTCCTTAAGGAGGACATGTGATCCCGGCTCTCATTTCGCCAGCTCCCCGCGGTATCCCCCTCAACCCCCCTATGCTTCAAATGCGTCAACAGTCACAGGGATGGGGCTGTTTGAAGTCGCCATCCTCGCAACTGTCGCCGGCTTTTGACGCCTGAAAGCCGCCATCCTCGTAACTGTCGTCACTTTTGGCCCCTCTTGCTTTCGCCGCGTCTTAAAAGTACCAACAGGCATAGGGACAGGACAGGGATCGGGTGGTCCTGTCATCGCTTGTGATTTCAATTGAAGCCTCATATGGTTGTTGAATGTTTCAAGTAGTCACAGGGATCGGCTTGGCCCTCATCTTGTATCATCTCTTGTAAACCCATAAGTGGCCCATACCGTTCGCGCGCCGACCGTATATGGTCACGTCCCGGCGGGCACCCCCCCTCGCCCCCATGGTATGGTGGCTATCTTCCAAGCTCTAAATCAGGATTAAAGTACAACCCCCCACCCCGCCTGTTGCCTTGTGGCCTGTGGTGTGAGTCTCTTCTTAGCTCTAATCAGGATTAAAGTAGAGCCCCTCACCCCCGCTGTGGTCCTGTGGTCTGGGTCTTGTGAGTAAGATTAAAAAGTTTATTGCCCCCACCTCCCCCCTGTCGCTTATGATTTGAGTCTTGTTGTTTACATTAGGTTCAT